CACATCGTCCAGATCACTCGGCCCTTCGGGGGAAAAGTCGGGAGGGGCAAGAGGTGATGCGGAGCGGATCGGCGATGAATCGCTGCGGACATGTATGGAGGGCACCCGATGCGGCGTTGTCGATGGCGTTGGGAACGCCTGAGCCGCTGAAGGGCTTTGATATTGAACGTCTGTGGCCATGGATTCTATCTTTCAGAGGGAACAGACGAGTCGGAGCTTTCAACCATTAACACCAAGGGGATCGGAAGTTGACCACGCAGAGCAGTCGGGCCCGTTCCCACAGATCCGAATCAAAGCAATTCATACGGCATCCGTCGATCTGATTCAAGACTGCGAGTCGAGATGAAGGTCAACAGCAGTGGGTCGACGACTGCCGGGCCGGGGAGAACGATGACGCTGGCCAGCAGCAGTAATTTCGAGAATTGTCGCCAAATGAATCTACAGTGACCGCCGAGTCAGCCGATTTCAGGCCGGTTGTCTCGAGTTCTGAAGGCTGAACAAATCCAGCCTCCCTAGCTTGCGTAAACGTGCACGTACCTCAGGTTGGAACAGCTCCTGAAGGTCGAACACTCTAGGGGATGGCGCTGCACTTGTCAATTATATACGTGGATATTAAGGATAAAAAATTATCATGCGAATGCGAGGAGACATAAGAAGCCGAATTAACTGGTGCAGCAACAGCGAATGAATCGAATGGATTGGAAGATAAGGATGGAAATAATGAAGCCGCGCAACGCGGGGGAAAGGATGAAGATCGAGACTCGAGACAGACGACGGACGCAGGCTGAGTGACTGTCTATCTACCTGCAAGATGACGGCCGGTCTTGCATTTGATCGCTCATCCTTCGAAACTAGAAGTCTAGGCTATCTAGTCAATAATAGATGGCGAGTGGAAAGAGCGAGCCCATGCAGCTGAAGCCCGTTAGATCAGTTTAGATCAGTCTCCAATTTCCTTTTTTTTTTTTCCGTGTTTTGTTTTTTTCCCCTTTTTAGTTGCCAGGATGGATTTTAGCCTTGCGGCACAGGCACCTGTCCAAGCATCTTGAAATGAACTAAGATAGAGCCAGTCCAGGGGCCGTTCGTTAGGAGGTGGATGCACTACTGAATAGCACCAAAGCACCGACGGGGTACTACTCACCATCGTGGTTAGTAGCATTGGTACTACGGAGTACTCCATATGAAAGCAATAAAGGATGGCAATCCAATTAGTGGAAGGTTGAGGAGCACAATAATACCGGACCCCACCAGAGCTACAGGCGGGCAGCCTAGACTGGAAGAACTGATATCGAGTGGGAAGTGTCGGATCGATGGATGCGTCGGTGGATTATTGGATAGAGGCTAAAGACGACGGTTTAAAACGGATGGAAAATGATAGGACTCGGCTGGGATTGGCTATCATTCAATGTTGGTCGCTTCCTGTCCGTTGTTGGGGGAAGAAAGCAGTGATAATAACTAACTAGGTAATAATAAAGATGATTTATCATCCGTCGAGAACAATAGAAAAAAGAAAAAAGCAAAAGTGGAAATGAAAACATGCGCGTTAATTCAGCCTTCAGATGAGAGGAAGGGAGAAAGGGAAAAGGAGACGCTGGCAGGCCCAGGCTGGTGTATGTATCATGGTTACCAGGCTGTATGTACTCTGGGCTGTTCTGATCATAGCCCATGCAATAGGTATAGTAGGTATGTATTCTCTTATTATTATTGGAGTACCAGGAGTAGATTCCGTAAGGTAGTTGGTCCAGGCAATTACGGGAAATTTGTTCTCAAAATCATCATTCTCTTGACTCACTTATAGTATGACTACTATGAACTCCACTCAGCCGATGATGGACTTTTTAAACCAGCGAATTGAGTATCCGTGCAAGTACCTGGACGTGATGCTAATAATGAATCCTCGTCTACTCCGTGTATATGAAAGCTCTTGTCAAGGTTGTCCCTCTTCTGTGTGATTGTTTTGTTCGAGGGTATTACGACAAAGGATACGGTCCCATAAAGTCTCGAACGGAATACACGGAACCATCCATTCATTATTATTGATCGACAGGGGAATCATACGACGCGAAGTGGGCGTATGATACGATCATGTAAACCACGCCATGAGACAGATATCCTCATAGATATCTAGACCCTGCGTTTGCTTTTCAAGAAGATCGGCATACCCTCTGGTCCGTGTTTCAGTACGGAGTGATATCCCTGAATCCGAGCATGTGGTAGGTTTAAACACGAGCGTTATAGCAACGAACTACTCCGTACAGGGGTGCAGTACGTACTACCTTCGTTTTCCACTCGGTTGTCGCGTGTGATCGAGCATCCAATTGGTTTATTGGATCAAATTTAATCTTTGAGTTTCGACTGCGGGAGATGCAGCGCTGCTGACGAATGCAAGATGTGGTCAGTAAGGTGGTAATAATGATGCCCAATTAATGTTGTACACTACTAACCACCGTCATACAATTTGATATCAACATCATAACAAAACAGATGATACAGGCAGCGGGCAAAACTCGGAAAGTGAGGGAACACCCGGATCGCTTCCTTGGATACAGGAGAGGTACACAAACACAGACGGGCCGCGTCCCAGGTTTTGGTTCTTGGCTTTGTTCCTGTGGGGTCAGAACTGAACTTACTTACTACGGAGCGCTTGGCTGCTTTGAGATTGGTTGATTGAGACGTAATCATAAGGTACCTTAGATTAAGTGGTCCCTGCTCAGGCCCCTTTTCCTATGGCCTTGTATTCATGATATGACACAGACGTACTCTGGGTCTGTGATCTCCTTCTATAACATTAAGTGTTCTACGAGTTCAGAGACAATGCCGAAAGTAGCACTTTCAGTCATGAGCTGTGAGCACATAGACATTCTGTTGCTGTAGTAGTACATAGTATCTATCTTCCAGTCGTAGTCCTTGGCCTCTGTCCTTATCCTAGTTATCCAACTGCAGAAGAACGTGATGTCTTGGAAAGGCCAAAAGGTTAGGAACATGAAAAACTCTACTCCTCTGTAATCCAACTAGACTGCTTAGTTCAGCCCGGCGTCGTTAGTGACTCCACTGCAATCAATTAGTCTAGCATTAGTAGCGTTGGCTTGGAGCTTTTCATTCAGGGGGTGTACTTTTGTCTTTTGATCAAAAAGAACAACAAAGAAAAGAGGTCCATACCCAAAAGCCCCCAACTACTTCAATTGGTCTCTAGATAGCCTCCCGATAGATATAACGCATCAATTATTTATTCTAAGAGAAAAGGTCATAGAGATGTACGGAGGACTGAATCGCCACATCCGATTGAACTCGAGTAATTAATTCATAATACCGAGGTGTCAGCTCGAGGCTTCAACTACCTTGCACCAATTTGATCACACATGTGCAGGCAGTGCAGCCGTTGATGATCATCACACTGCAGCTGTCAAAGTTCAGGATGATTGATTGAGACTCTAATAATAGGATGAGCATTGATCTATCTGAAGCAATGGACTATGTGATGATGTAATTTATCCACATGCTCATCCACTTGTCGACTACAGTTCGAAGTCATCACACCCAGTTCCTACCGCAACTGAATCGCCTCATTATTCTTCCTTTTGATTCTCTGATTTGTTGAATCGAATCTATCAGATGCTTGGATATCGGGTCAGTTCTCTCAATCCCTCTCAGTCACTTAGTCACCGGTAAGCCTCAGGCTGAACGTTTATCCTGGCGTGGCACGCCGCTCTCGGCATTGGGCAATATGACGCCTTTGCGGGGTATGTTGTCTCCCTCCGATATCAACCATAAATATCAACATCTATGTTGATCTCTCATAATATCCCATATCTTCTGGGATTCGACTGTGGTTGAATCGCCATCATTTTATTGAAATTCATGAACTACCGAGTCATCGACCAATGCCAGCCCAAACTCTCCTTCGGGTCCTCTTCTTCGATGTCTTTGGCACCGTCGTCGAATGGCGCACCCCCGTCTCCAAAGCTCTCTATGATGCAGCGCAAAACGCGCTCCAAGACCCAACAAAGGAGCTCACCGACGCCGTGCGCGCCAAAGTCTCGTCAATGACTCAATCAGACTGGCTCGACATAACCGAGGAATGGCGCGAGTCATATCGCCACTTCACCCAGAGCCTCGATCCATCAAAGCCCTTCGTCCCCGTCGACGAGCACCACTACTCGTACCTCCTCAAGCTCCTCCAAGCCCACGGACTCGAGACCCTGTTCACCGACGCCCAGAGATGGGATCTCGCGCTGAGCTGGCACCGGCTCACCCCGTGGCCCGATACCATTCGCGGCCTGGAGCTCCTGAACCGCAAGTTTCGCACCTGCACCCTGTCCAACGGGAACGTGGCACTACTGGAGGATCTCTGTCGGTACGCCTCGTTGCCCTTTATGGAGGTGCTCAGTGCAGAGCACTTTGGGGCGTACAAGCCGTCGCCCAAGGTCTACGGCGGGGCTGCGGAGAGATTCGGATTGGAGCCCGGGGAGTGCGCGCTTGTGGCGGCGCATCTGGCGGACTTGAAGGGTGCCAAAGCCTGCGGGTTTCAGACGATTTATGTTGAGCGTCTGAAGGAGGAGACGTTGGACGTGGAGCAGGCACGGAAGGAGGGGTATGTTGATACCTGGATTGATGCAAGCTGCGATGGGTTTGTTGAACTTGCCCGGCAGTTTGGTATTGATACCGAGGCCAAGGTCTAGATTACAATGATATTATATGTACATTACGCCTGATGAGTACTCATGGTCAATTATATTGCCTCGTTTGCGACATACCGGGTTTGGTTGTAGCCGAGCAATTGCAAAACAGACTTGAGATGCTGTTTATTCCGCACTTCCGCTGACCGTACGATGGTGACATCAGATTTGTAGTCTGTCCAGCAGTAGCCAGCAGGCTCAACTATATACGAGTGTCAATCAGGATGCTGATGCGTCGACCAGACAAGAGAACATGACGGACCAGGTACATATACGTTCTTCGGCATTACCCTTGCTGCCACTGACGACAGCCCCGAATCTACAAAGATGCCGACGGTGACGGACAATTTCGACGCAAGCCGTCGACATTCCGCTCGTTCGTTTGGAGCGACTCATCCTCCTAGTTCCCCGCACAGAGAGACCGCTACGTGCTATCCTGGGCGCACCCTCAAGGGACTCGAAGACATCATCGAGCTGATGGTGTTAGACCCGGACAGTTGGTTCTTCTCCGGCCGTTTTGGGTCCGCGGAGAGGGACCCTTGTACGGACTCGAGCTGCTCAAGGAGCTATACCTCAAAGCGGATCCGCGTACGAGGGCCGGTAGAGGATCCCGGTCCTCTGGGACAAACAGCGCCAAACGATCGTCAACAATGAAGCAGCGAGATCATCCGCATGTTCTACGCCAAGTTTGACCATCTCCTGCCCCTAGGCGATGCGCGAGGCCAACCAGCCCGGCGGTGGACTGTATCCCGCGCCTCTGCGAGCCGACATGGACGCCATGGACGACTGGGTGTACGGCGAGTCTGTACCCGTTGTTCGAGGCGGATATCCGGCTGTACACGACAATTGCTCGCTTCAACGTGGCATACTACCTGATCTTCCGGGCAATCTCAGAATAATTCTCCTATGGGAAGAGCATTCTACCCCATGATCCAATGTGCTGTAGCTTTCTGCTGGACGAAAAAAGCAAACCTGCACGTTTTGCCTTACCGGGAAGCCCTCACTCAGCCTCTAGTGTCATTCTACGCCAATCACTGACTCGCGGCCATACACGCCTACCTTACTATTGCTGGGGCCAAGCTTCTTCACGACGTTTCTCGACTACGAATGACGCTGTACCTGTTCCTCGATTAACGCGGAGACCGCGGGGAAAATGTCGATTAAAGTCGAGGTATCACATTGAGTATGTCACCTGTGATACGTGACTGGCCCATCTACTATCTACGCTTGACTGACCTCTTGCGAAGGCTATCCTCCAAGGGTAGGATGTCTGGCCCAGGTCCTGTAGGAACGATCAACGGCGCTTTGCATTGTTTCTTGGTCGCCTTGAGATCCCCGATTTTATACTAGCCTGGTCAGCATGGCCCTCGAGGGCCGAAAAAAGCTCACAAGATCAAAAAAATTGTCTTCTTGAACGGCCCTCGTGTTCTGTCCCATTGGTCGTAGTACAATTACCGGTATCAGCGATCAATGCGCGGATATTTATGCCGGATCGTTATGTTCATATCTGGTTCAACCCGGAATCATCTTCCAGTGACTCCATCCGGCCCCCAATCTACCTCATGCTTCATCATATGCACTGCAACCTTGTCAAGCTACTACCTATCCAATTCCCTCTTTAAGTAGAAGGTAACCATCGACGGTCTAGATCCATCCGACCCAGTCCCAGGTAGCCACTAGCCCCCAAAGAGGCAGGGGAAACGGGCGATATCACGACCGCGGCGCACCGCCAAAGCGACAACCATGAATGGAGGAATAGTTAGTGCAATACTGGGCTCTTATCTAGGTTCTGATTTGATCCTGCACAGAGCAGTGAGAGCACATTGCGCGGCTAGATATGCCAAGTTTGCCAGGTACTCTGGTTGAGCGGGGCGTTCCGAGCGGATGAATATTGGGATGGGCGATGGATTTTATCCACTGCACTGATCTTGAGTGAGTACTTTACTAACATAACCTGTCTCACTGTCTATTTGTAGTGAACTGGTATAGAAAATAGAATATAGAGACAGGAATATTATCAGACTTACTGGATAAACCCCGGAGAAACTACCCATCTGCTAGTCGGAGACGAGTCAGTCGATGTCACAAATTATGTGGTGAGTAATATGACGGGTACTGACGGCCCCCCTGAACCTACTCCGTCGGGTACTCGGGCTCCGGGTTTTAGTCACTTTAGTGCTCCTGGTTGATCCATGGCTGTTCATTCCGAAATCCAGATGTTATCCGTCAATAACAATAATAATATGATGCCATGATGACGGTGATCTACCTGTCGTATCCAATGTAGGAATCAATCTACGAGGTTTTGGGATACTTCCAGGCTCAGTTATCAATCATACAAGGTAAGATTGATATCCAAGGCGCTAGGTCGGACTGTGCAGTAGTACCGTCTATCGTGCGTTTAACCCACGTGGAAATGGGCCAGGGCCAGGGCCAGGGCAGTGGCAAAGAAGTCGAGAGAAGTATCTGCACAAGAGTGCAAACTGTGCAGTACACGGAGAACGGGGTATCTTCGTAGTAAATCGACAATCGACTGAAACCCAGACAACCTGCAGGATATCTGACATGAACTATCAGGATGTCAAGTGCCCCTCCCCCTTAACCTGAATAATCGCTCAGAGGCTAAAGTGTAAATCTCTGACTATGCATGAGCCAAGAACAAGGCCATTCTAGAAGGTTGAGAATATTACCTTCCTTAGGGTTGCGGGATTATTCGCAAGGAGCATCGTTTTGATCTCCGAATTCAGGCGCAAACCGTGATGACGTTCATGGACTCCTAATATCCATACATTCAATATCGCAATGCCTCAATATGAAGATCATATTCAAGTCAATGTTCTCGTAGGACTCGATATGATGCTGCCCCACCTGGCTACATCCATAGTCTCAAGTATACTGCATACTGCATACACTGCTAACTCTAAATGCAACTGCCATATTGCCAGCGGGGCGCTGCGCATAAGGAGTCCCAGGAATCAGGAAGATGGAATTTTAGCGAGTGGCCAGGGGGGCCGCGGAATGTTCGATCGCCTTCCCCGTTGAATAGTCTTAAGGATGTAACTTGCAAGACTAGTTGTAGATAGCATTTTGATTGCCACTGCAGATTGCCATTTGAGCTCCATCAACACGCTTTGGGACTCTAGGAGCGCTGCGTATTGGTGCACAACCCGATGTCTAAGTTCATGCACTGTCCTCCGCTGTATCAGTCGGAAGCTTACCGCTGGACTTTGTAGGAAGATGAAGCCTAAACAACCCGAATTGGGTTGATGCCAATTGCCAACTGGGTCTGGTGTGGGGAGTCTTAGTGTGGCCATCCGCCCACTTGGTGTGTACCCGAAACTGTCTTCAGTCGAAAGTGGGCATGTTTCCTTGAAGATCTGAGACGAGGCTAAAACTGGCAAAACTTTCACTTTCAGGCCGTGATCAGAGACTCAGGGGGAGCAATAGGGCATTTCGAATCGCAAGTATCACATCATGAAGGGTATGGCGGTGAGATGAATCGAACTCGTGGCTAATGCGCATCGTCTCGATGGTCAGGTACCTCGCGGATTCCATTACGGTCGATTCGCTTGAATGTCAGAGAATCAAATCTGAGGATACCTCTGTATTCACCTGAATCAGATCTTCATCACAGCACGAAAGTCTGACGATCACAGGTCAATCACCTGAAGTGCAACTCCTTGAAAATGATACCCGTTGTAGGCCTTGTAGACGAGTATACTTCGAGCATAGTCCTGCATAGACAAGCTGAGACGCCACACAATTGTCTCCATTCAACCTCAGAATGCATGTTATCAGAAAGGTACCAGATCTATCAATTGATCCCAGAGAACCTTCTTACGAAGAACTTCATAGGTGCCGTTCTGACATGGGAGAATGGACACAGCATTCTCTCTATTCGCCTTTGACTTCATTCATCTATTGTCCTTGCCTACCTACCCTAGTCAAACATCAATCCAATTCTCTTGCTAATACAACGCCGTAGGACTTCTACTAACTACTCTAGGTAAGTCCTGGCTTAACTACATCCGATAATAAGAGAGGGGGGGAAGAGAACGTGCCTCAGTACTCCGTAAGAATAGTCTACATAATAATTAATCACTATTGTTGTGATTTTTCTCCCTCCCTTTTCCTTATTATTATCATTATTTCTTCCCCTGTATCTATTCCTTCATCTATCTGTACTTTTTCCTCTTCTCCTGTTTCTTATAAGCAATCTATCGTTTTGCTTCTCTCCTCGCTATCTTTCCCAGTGTCGCTGGCCAAGCCTTTTATCCTTGGTCCTCCCTGGCGTGGGCGCTTGATCGCCTGTGCAGCTTTCCCCCTCCCCCTCCCTAGAAGATAAGGAGTATAAAGGCAAAAAAGCAAAGAAAAGAACAGAGGAAAGATATTCCACCTCACACCCCTTGGACTCTCACTTCCTGATTACTCTGATTTCAATTCGGATCCGCTTCAACTCTGCTATTTTTGCGCGGCGAAATCAATCTTCAGGCATTCCCCCCTCAAAAAAAAGGGTCAACAGATATATTGGCAGAACATCCCTGTGTCACTACTCATCGGAAGAACTGGCAAACCCGCATTTTTGTCCTTCGGCTAAGACTATCAAACACGCTGGGGCAAGGATATCTGCAGATACTGTTGTTGGCTGCTGGAACTCTTGGGTTTTCCGCTCGAGTCCAAATTTTTCTACCGCGTACTTATCTTACTCCTGATCTTGTGATCGACGAGCTTATACTGCGACCGGAGAGCTTGACAATTCTCGCTTCAATTCGCTGATCATAAACGCAAATTAAGGGCCCAAAGGTATGTCATGTCTCTCTTTCCACTCCTTTTGCTGCCGTGGGGCCTCGTGTTGTGGTGTGGATTGTGGACTGCACATGTGCTTGGGCGGCCAGAGAGCAACGACGGTTCTTCCGGTGGCTAATAAACCGCACTAACTTTACCACAATAGCCGTTCTTTTAAGTTCCTGCGCTGGACCCCCAGTAGTCGACAGTGTCTCGCAACACTCCGTTATCCGCGTCTGTGCCCACCGTGGAGCATTCATAGCTTTCTCTTCTCTCTTCGCCCCCCTCTCTCCCCTTCCTCTTCGCCTTGTACCCAATTTTCCTCTACTCCTTCTTCCCTCCTTTAAAAAAAAAAAATATTTGGTTAAACAATTCTTTGATCCTTCGGTTACCTACGGGTGCGCTATAGTCGCCATGTCGGGAAAAATGACGTTGTACAAATTGGTGGTGTTGGGAGATGGTGGTGTCGGCAAGACCGCGCTCACGATCCAGGTTAGCCCTCCATCTCTACCTTGACGGTCGAGGACACCGTTACTGAACTCTCGACTTAACATTTTTCACTCTGAATAGCTTTGTTTGAATCATTTCGTCGAAACGTACGATCCCACGATTGAAGACTCGTACCGAAAACAAGTTGTGATCGATCAGCAGTCCTGCATGTTGGAAGTGCTGGACACCGCAGGCCAGGAGGAATACACGGCCTTGCGAGATCAGTGGATTCGCGACGGCGAAGGCTTCGTGCTTGTCTACAGCATCACATCGCGCGCCTCTTTCTCGCGCATACAAAAATTCTACAATCAGATCAGGATGGTCAAGGAATCAGCCCACTCTGGGTCGCCGTCCGGAGCCAGCTATCTGGGGTCGCCCATAAACGCGCCTTCGGGTCCGCCACTCCCCGTACCGGTGATGCTTGTCGGCAACAAGAGCGACAAAGCAGTGGAGCGAGCGGTCTCGGCGCAGGAAGGACAGGCCCTGGCGAAGGACTTGGGCTGCGAATTCGTCGAGGCGTCCGCCAAGAACTGCATCAACGTGGAGAAAGCCTTTTACGATGTCGTTCGCATGCTCCGACAGCAACGGCAACAGCAGCAGGGAGGACGATCCCAGGATCGTCGACCGACCGGCTTGGGTCCCATGCGCGATCGCGACGCCGGTCCTGAGTATCCCAAATCTTTCCGACCCGACCGTTCCAGACACCGAGGTGGCATCAAGTGCGTCATACTATGAGGAACGCATTAGCATTCGCATTCCACCTCTTTCACTTTCGTCCACTCCAAGCGTCCACGAACATCCATGTGAGCCTGCTCCATGGCAATATCTTCTATCTGTTTATATTGGCTGCATGAACGTCTTACCGGTCTCGGGACTATAGACTGGGCGGTCACTTCTCGTCCCTTTCCTCCGTTACATTTTTTTCTTCGCCTCTCTTCTACTCTACTTGTGTTGGATAACGCACATACGGTTTTATGGAGATGCTTGATGTATGCTCCATGTTCCTCGGTACCCTGGAGGGTCGCCTTTGGAAAAGATTTCCTTTCCGTTATATGGGAGAGGCTGGAATCTCAGAAGCAACGGGGATTATAGACTTTTTTTTTCTTCTCTCGCACACCCTGGATAATCATTTTTGACCCCTTGCAGTTGCTCGGTTCCAGCCTCGGGGATGTGGTTCATTCCAGCCACCTTGACCCAGGACCAGTCTTTTGCGTGGCTGGGGTCTAAGATGTGAATGTCAGAAAGGTGGTCTCTACTACAGACAGGTGTGGACGAAGCAAGGAATGTGACCGACGGCCGGATCGGGGGGAAGAAGACGTATGGTTGTTTTCGCCGAAGCAGTCGACCGTTTAGCAGGCATTTCGATATGATACCCTACGGCTGAGCTTTCACTTGTTCATTTTTCCTTCTTTTTTCTGGTGCATTATTTGCGAATATAAGGAACAAAAAGTTCGTTGACACAGATAGACCTAAAATAAAGACACCTATTTATTCAGTTCTATCAGATTTCCCAAGAGCGATTGCCCGTTCGTGCGAGTCCTGTATGACCACATAGAAGTGGCGAAGAATACAAGTATAGTCACCCACTAGGTAAGGTATCTTTGTCCAAATCTGATCAATCCAGTGGACGGTAGGTAAGCTTCATTTCATCTGGGTCCCCTTCAACAGGTGGACAACTGTACCACGTACGGCTGCGGATGCTGAACGGACCATCCGTGCGGGGAAAGCTTCATTTATCCTCGGCTTCATCCACTCTGTTCAGGAGTCAGGACGTAGTATCAGTCCACTTCCCCACAACTTCACTTCATCCACTCATCGATGGTCGAATCAAAACCCCATCATTAATCGCTCAAATGTCATGGGGGCTGGAGCAATGAAACCCCTTTCGGAGTTCATACAGATGTTTGCTTACTGATTGCCGAGTCTAAACGAATCCCGGCATGGACACTTTGACTTTGGTCTAGCTTAACTTACAGCTCACCTGCAGCATCACCTTGCATGAGGACGGTTCGTTCCGTTCTGCTTGCTTCCTTTCCTCCGTGAATCTCTTCGGCTATCTATCTACTCCTCTGGTTTGGTTTAACTACAGAGTAGTGCTGGGTGGATTTATACTTTGTGATTGTGTCACATTGAAGCAGCCATCCCGTATTCACTTTTATTCCCTTGTCTCTTCTCCGCTTCCCCTGGTCATCGGTCCATCATTCCTACGCATCAAGGAAAAGCAAGGGAGAATGTCTACCCAACAGACAGTCCACGCTCAGTCCCTCCACTCCCCCGAAACCTTTTGGTCGCATCACGCGGCCCAGCTGCACTGGCACAAGAAGCCCTCGCAGACACTAGTCCGACACCCCAAGGCTCTACCTAGCGGGGTCACGCACGAGCACTGGGCCTGGTTCCCCGACGGCGAGATCTCGACCACGTACAACTGTGTGGATCGGCATGTGGCGGCCGGCCGCGGCGAGAATGTGGCGATTATCTGGGACTCGCCGGTGACGAGCGTCAAGGAGAAGTATACGTATAACCAATTGCTGGATGAAGTGGAGGTGCTGGCTGGCGTGTTGAGGGAGGAAGGAGTGAGGAAGGGAGATGTGGTGATCATCTACAGTATGTAATTCACCTCTGGACTGTCACGTAGGGTAGAGCTAATAACCATGATAGTGCCTATGATTCCCGCGGCGCTGATTGCGGCGCTAGCCATCACCCGGCTAGGGGCCATCCATTCGGCCGTGTTCGGCGGCTTCGCGGCCAAGTCGCTTGCTCAGCGGATTGAGGCCGCGAAGCCGCGAGTAATCATGACGGCGTCGTGCGGGATCGAAGGGTCCAAGGGGCCCGTGTCGTATCGGCCGCTGGTCGAGGGGGCCATTGCGGCGAGCAGCTTCAAGCCGTCCAAGACGATTATCTGGCAGCGGGACCAGCTGCGGTGGAACAATCCGGACAAGATGGGCGGGCAGCGCAACTGGCAGCGGCTGGTCAAGAGCGCTCGGATGCGCGGAGTCAAGGCGGGCCCTGTGCCGGTCAAGAGCACTGATGGGTTGTATATCATCTATACGAGTGGTATGCGTCCTGGTTTGTGGGGGTAATGTAACGCTTGCTGATCTGTGGTTAGGGACGACTGGATTGCCGAAAGGAGTATTCCGAGAAGCAGGGGGCCATGCAGTAGGACTCCATTTGTCCATCAAGTATCTGTTTGATATCCACGGGCCAGGGGATGTCATGTTCTGCGCCTCGGATATCGGGTGGGTGGTCGGTCACTCGTATATTCTGTATGCACCGTTGCTGGTGGGTGCCACGACGGTCCTGTTCGAAGGAAAACCGGTGGGGACACCCGACGCAGGCACCTTCTGGCGGATTGTCGAGGAGCACAAGGTCAAGGTGCTCTTTACGGCGCCGACGGCCGTTCGGGCGATCCGCAGGGACGACCCGGACAACAGGTACTTCCTGCAGGTTGCACGCCGCGGTGGACTGAGGCACCTGAAGGCTCTATTTCTCGCTGGCGAGAGAAGCGAACCGAGCATCGTCCAGGCGTATCAAGCGCTCCTGACCCAGCATGCGGCGCCGGGGGCAATGGTGATCGATAACTGGTGGTCGTCTGAATCCGGATCCCCCATATCTGGATTAGCGCTGAACAGCGCAGCAGGCCTAGTGGACCAGCGGCAACCGAATCAGGATTCCAAACGGCTAGCAGTTCGACCTGGATCAGCCGGGCTGCCGATGCCCGGGTTTGACGTCCGCATCGTCGACGATGAAGGGCGGGAGGTGCCGCGCGGGACGATGGGAAATATAGTCATGGCGATACCCCTGGCCCCAACGGCTTTTACTAGTCTATTCAATGATGACGAGCGGTTCTACAAGGGATACCTCAAACGGTTCAATGGCCGATGGGTCGACACCGGCGATGCAGGCATGATCGACGAGGACGGGTACATCCACATCATGTCGCGGTCCGACGACATCATCAACGTGGCTGCGCACCGGTTCAGCACGGGGGCCATCGAGCAAGCCATCCTATCGCACCCGGACATTGGCGAAGCCAGCGTGGTAGGCATGCCGGACCCGCTCAAGGGCCATCTCCCATTTGCATTCATCCAGCCGAAGGGATCAGGATGGGGACCGGAACCGCTTCCCGCCCGTCCCAGCGCGGAGCTCTTTCGGGCTGTAAATCAGCTGGTGCGCGAGCAAATCGGGGCCATCGCTTCGCTGGGCGGGATCATCCAGGGGCGGGGGATGATCCCGAAGACGCGCAGCGGCAAGACACTGCGGCGGGTGCTACGCGAGTTGGTGGAGAATGGGGAGCGGGGGGACTTTGATGCTCCTGTGAATGTGCCGCCGACGGTGGAGGACGCAGAGGTCGTGGAGGTTGCGCGGGAGAGGGTACGAGAATACTTTGCCGCCAAGTCGAAGTTATAACCGGTCACAACTTCGACTGTCTATACGGTGATACGACCCACGTCAAGTCAAGTAAAACCAAAAGTAATTCATGCCTAATAAAACCAGGTATCGATCGTATAGAACAAATCAATAATCATGAAGTCAGAAAAGAAAAGGAAAAAGGGGGATACTAGTAATAGTAAAACGCTAGTGGTATCTCGCCTTCCATCGTCCGGGGCACAGATGAACGAAAGCGCAACCCTGTACTAAAGGTATGTATATTGAATCCGAATTCGAATCCAATTCGATTCCATGGAAATGTAGACTCAGCTCACTCAAGCAACCAAACCAAACAATTCAATCAATTAAATCAACAACCCCCTATTCAACAACGGCCAAAACCTCACCTCATCAGTCCGCTCAGTTACAGCAGGTAAGCAGCCAGGGCAAAAACACCGGCCAGACCCGCGCCGGCACCGACGGCAGCGCGCGAGGCGGCACCAGTCGCCAGGGGAGTGACGGGGGTGGTGGGAACGGGGGAGCCGGTGGACTTGGCGCCTGCACCCGAGGGGATGACAGGACGGGAAGTCGGGGCGACGACGATGGAGCTGCTGGAGGGGGTGTGGATGAGGGGGGTGGAGGAGGGGCTACTCCGTCAGTCAGCATCGTAATCTTCAATTCATTCATTTCTCGTGGACTGCATCGAGAGAAAGAGGAGACATACCACTTGTTGCAGCGGGTGATGGTCGAGGTGATCAGGGGCCGAGAGATGGAGTAGGTCACGCCGTTGGAGACGGTGATGGAGGGGGCCTTCGCATATTAGCATCACGTCGTTTGGTTATGTATTACAGATACAGATAGACGTACAGCGCTGGAGGAAGCCTCGGGGACGGGGGTGGAAGCGGCCTCGGGGCAGTAGGTGGTGTACTCGGTGACCATGACGGTGCTGTATTCCTCATCCGCAACGGCGTCGGCAGCGATGGCGCCCACGGCGAGGGTAGCCAGAACAGCAGCGAAGAAACGCATTTTGATTGATTTTATTAAGATTGAGTTTGAGGTGGTAAGGTTGATGGATAAAGAGCGACTGGATTTAAATCCAAGCAAGTGTTTGTAAAAGAATGTACTCGGTATAACACCGGGGCAGTTGGAGAGAGCGAGTGAAGCAGTTGGCGGAGAAAGGAGAAAAAAGAAGAAAAGGAAGTCTGGAGGGAGGATGGACGGGCCCTGAAGTATTCAGCCTAGCATCAACCTAGGAATCAGGACCAGGATCTAGTTCAGACTCAGGAGATTAAACATCTAAATTTACTCGAATAAGGAGCGCAGGAGACGAAGCCACTCCCTGCAGTCTAGTACAGACAGAGTTAATGTGGTGGATGGCCCTAATGTTTAGTCTACGAGACTAGTCGCTTGTCTGGTGCGTGGATTTATCATTTTAAGAAGAGAGGCCAGTAGAGTAGACAAGAGAAACAGTAGATACACGCACTCTGCTCGATACAATCAGATCTCCACGTTTTTTGGCCCTGAATTGCCCCTGAACCGGTCAAAGATCTCTCAATCGTGCCGGTGTTCGTATGCCTGTTTGAGTAGTAGAGAATCCATCTCTGGGGTTCAGAAGAAGTCGAGACTGTTAGCCTAATAGTCTTGATTTTGAGTCCTGACTCTAGAGTCTAGAGAGGCCTCCGTGCTCTGTAAATAGATACCTCGTCGATCATGGTTCCTACTGACTACTGTTCCAACCTCCTGCTCCCCGCCCTGAGAATCATTTCCCAGAAGCGCCGTCTCCTCTCCTCGCCTATGCTTACGCTCTCAAGCTCGCTCGGATCTCAAGAAATCAGAGTTTTTATGATTTCCAATTTCAACTGCAGCTTATTGAAGTTAAAGTACTTGCTCCTTACAGAGCCACGTAGTACTCGTACAGGCAAGGTACCTTCTTCTTGCCTCATATTTTCGTGGTGCATGTTGCAGAGTTTCACTAGACGGAACTCTCACACTCGCACAAGCCTCATCGTGTTCGAGTCTTGTTCCACACTACACATACTCTGGGGGTCATACAGGACCTGCTGGGGTGGAAGACCATTGAATTCGTTCATTCTATCTCGATATGTTCGTACACGTAGGCCTCGAAAACACATCATAAATGTCCAACTCATCCGGTCATCCCAGCTTTGCACACAGATCCAATCAGACGGTTCGTTGCCCCTCATGGATGGTGAATGGGCGTGGGACATATCAGCATCGCCCGGGAAAAGCCAGCCAGAAGCCGTCCCTTCCACGAGAACTGAAAAAGCCGTAAACGCCATCTCTTCATCTTGGATTTAGTTGTGTGATGAAGAGAAAAAGAGGGGAATGTGAGAATGCCGGCGGAGATAAAAAACAATGCCGTAAGCGAGTCCTCGGAGTGGAACATCCTCTTCCGCCCTATCAGCCAATCGGGGCGCGTCGTCCCAGAACGGATTAGCGGCTGACAGCTTTCCGCGGGCAACGGAGTCGCCCGTATCAAGAACACCGTTGTCCGATGGGTCAAGAGATAACCATCAGCGGTGCCATTGTTATATCACCCGTTCTTCTTTTCATTATTTTCTTTCGTTGATTCTTCGCTTTTCACTGTCTACAGTTCAAAACAACGATAGGCTGAATCTTTACCCAACAATGTCTCTAAGTCGTTGCGGACGACAGGCCTCGCGCCTCATCCCGCGGTCTGGAAGCTCCCCCAGAGCTACCACTGCCATCACCAGCGCCCGCCGTCCGGGCTTCCAGCTTCAGACTCCCACTGCTGCATCCAGGAATCTGCAATGGCGGAGCGTATCCTCGTCCAGCCGCGATGGCCAGCAACATGTGCGCCTTATCCCACTGGCTTGTTCCTAGGACAATGTGCTGATGTCATATTCGTGCAGTTGCTCTCCGCATCCCTCGAGCAGGAAGATCCCACTGTCTACAACATCCTACAAAAGGTGCATTGACCTTGCCAGGCGTCAATTGAACATATTCACTCATGCTGGTACAGGAGAAAAAACGCCAAAAGCATTTTATCAACCTCATCCCCTCCGAGAACTTTACGTCACAAGCCGTTCTCGATGCGCTGGGGAGTGTGATGCAGAGTCAGTCCGCTGCTGTCGGTTCTACAAGTGTGAAACTAACGGGCCCCAGATAAATATTCTGAAGGATACCCCGGTGCGAGATACTATGGAGGAAACGAGTTCATCGACCAGTCCGAGAGACTCTGCCAGCAGCGTGCCCTCGAGACCTTTAGACTCCACCCCGAGGAATGGGGTGTCAACGTCCAGCGTAAGTTTCTAGTAACATACTTTAGATATAACGGACTAACTCCTACAGCTCTCTCCGGATCCCCGGCTAACCTTTACGCCATCTCCGCCGTCCTCAACACACACGACCGTCTGATGGGCCTGGATCTGCCCCATGGTGGTCACCTGTCGCACGGTTACCAAACCCCAACCAAGAAGATTTCTTTCATTTCCAAATACTTCGAGACTCTGCCTTACCGCCTGGATGAATCCACCGGCCTCATTGACTATGACGGGGCGGAGAAGTTGGCTCTGCTCTACCGACCCAAGCTCATCATCGCCGGCACTTCGGCCTACAGCCGGCTTATCGATTACCCCCGCATGCGCCAGATCGCTGACGCCGCTGGTGCATACCTCTTGAGCGATATGGCCCACATCTCGGGCTTAGTAGCCGCCGGTGTGCTTCCCTCGCCTTTCCCTCACTCCGACATTGTGACAACCACAACCCACAAGTCCCTGCGCGGTCCTCGCGGTGCCATGATCTTCTACCGCAAGGGCGTCCGCCGGACGGACAAGAAGGGCAACAAGGAGATGTACGATCTCGAGAACCTCATCAACGCGTCTGTTTTCCCTGGTCACCAGGGTGGTCCTCACAACCACACCATCACTGCGCTGTCCGTCGCCTTGAAGCAGGCTCAATCGCCTGAATTCAAGGCCTACCAGGAGACCGTTTTGGCCAATGCCAGGGCGCTGTCGGACAGACTGGGTGGCCCAATCAACAATGGCGGTCTCGGCTACAACATCGTGTCGGGCGGCACGGACAACCACCTGGTCCTTGTTGACCTGAAGAATCGCGGAGTCGACGGTGCCCGTGTCGAGCGCGTCCTCGAGCTCTGCGGTGTGGCCAGCAACAAGAACACCGTCCCTGGCGACCAGTCCGCCCTGAAGCCCGGCGGTCTGCGGCTGGGAACTCCTGCCATGACCACTCGTGGCTTCCAGCCTGAGGACTTCCGTCGTGTCGCCGACATTGTGGACCGGGCCGTGATCATCACCCAGAAACTGGACAAGGCTGCCAAGGAGAGTGCTGCGGCCAAGGGAGTCAAGAACCCCAACACAGTCAAGGCCTTCCTCGACTACGTTGGTGAGGGCGAGGAAATCTCCGAGATTGTGCTGCTGAGAAAGGAGGTGGAAGACTGGGTGGGCACCTTCAGCCTTCCTTGGGATGATTAAAAGTATACCTTGCTGCTATTTAATGAGACGATGTTTTGAGGGCTTCTTTGGCGGGTTAGCTGTTTCAACATGACCAAGATGTCTGCTTATGATGCATGCATGCATGTATGTATATACAATTCAACACAATCTCAACCTGTGACCAGAATCGTTATATTCCGTCTTGTCTATAATGTTGCTATACTGGCGGTATGATTATCACAGAGTAATGTGGAATGTGTCGATTTGACTGCGCCCTGTCAACAACATTCTGTCATCCCCGCATCCGATAGGCCAGGATAACGTCTCCGCATTTAGTTGGAGAATGCGGGTGAGGCTGTTTATTTGTATCTCAACCACCGAGTCATTTCCATTTCATAATACCCAGTTCAGAGTGTTTTCCAACTCTCAGATATAGACAACGTTGGCATTGCAATACTGACCTTAGTTTAGTTCCTTCAACAAATTCAAAAAACTACGACGGCAGCCATGCACATCAGCCAGGTAGGCGGACTCCACCCCTTGCAAAGAAGAGGAAACTCATATCTGAACCCCAGCTCTACACATACCCCATCAAATCCGTCCGCGGTGTCTCCCTATCTGAAGCAACCCTCACCCGGACAGGATTCCAATATGACCGGCGCTTCATGCTCCTCAAGGTCATCCCCGGCCAGAATGGCGCCTCCTCCCTCAAGAACATGCACGTCCCTCATTTCCCCGAAATGGCTCTCTTTACGACGGATATCATCTACCCAGATGAAGAGAAAGACGTACCTGGCCGGATCATCGTGACGTACCATCCGCCAGCGGACAGTCATCTCGATGGCAACTCCACGAAAACGCTAGAGATCCCCTTACAGCCGGATATACGAGGCCTCCGACAATTAAGCATCGAGATGCACCAGAGCCCAACAACGGGGTACGACATGGGCGATCCGTACAACGAGTGGTTCAGCGAGCGGTTCGGGTACGGCGTGGTACTAGCCTACCTGGGCCCGCATTCGCGGCGGGTCCTGGGGAGTTTCGCGCCGGGGAAGAGCCCCGCCCACGCGGTGGACAAGCCGGTGGTTTCGACACGCTCGCTGGTTGGGCTGGCGGTGTTGACGCTCGTGTTAAATGTTGTGCGTGTTTCGGCTTCGGCCTCGGGGCCGATGCAGCTCACAAGGGACGAGCTGCTGAGACATTGGCCGGGGGTTGCGGCGACGGTTGTCGCGGGGTTGCTGTCCTGGGTATTATTGCGGTGTTTGTCGACGGGCAAAGAGGACGAGTCGATTACGTTTGCGGATACGTCGCCGTACCTGCTGACGTCTGAGACGTCGCTGGATGAGCTCTCTGCGCGCTTCGCGGGAGACGAGCGCATGGACATGACCAAGTTTCGGCCGAATATTGTTGTCTCGGGGGCGCCGAAGGCTTTCGAGGAGGACTTTTGGGCTGAGTTGAGGGTTGGACCGGGGGACGGTGCGGCGAGGTTGCTGCTCACGGCGAATTGTGTACGGTGTCAGAGTATTAATGTTGACTATGCGACTGGGAAGATGGGGACGGGGGAGACGGGGAGTGCGCTGAAGAAGTTGATGAAGGATCGTAGGGTGGACAAGGGGGCTAAGTATAGTCCTGTCTTTGGGCGATATGTCTTCTTGGATCCTGGGTCGGATAAGGTGATGGTTCGAGTGGGAGATGAGGTAGACGTCCTGAGGACGATGAAAGAGCGGACAGTCTACGGTCAGTCAGTCTACTCCTTGATCCACGTTTAGATCTGACAGGTTTACCTCTCTAGATTGGCCGGGTTTGGCGAATTGAACAAAGCGTCGGAAGAGTTTGGTTCAACTGTGTGTGTCATGGTCGCTTGATGTTTCATAAGAATCTACATCCTTCAATTACCTTGGCTCATGAACATAAGGCCCCACCCCTGGAAATTGTTCCTCGCACAGGATGATCTTAGACTATGTTTGCATGACGAGTTCACTAGTGAAATGCTGCGCAAGGCGATACTGACAGGCATGGTTGCTATCTTCGACCGGTGAGTTTCTTCGCAAACACGCCTCTCTTGTTCGTCGGCTGCCACCAGTCTTCAATATCACTCATACAGATCAGGAGCAGCTGGGCCTGATCGATAAACTTTTGACATGACTGGATGTTATGCATCTGGCCACAGAGCTTGTCCAATCCATCATACAGCGCCTCGAATCTTCTGCGCAAGTGCTCCAATCGATTCAGATCCCCGCCCAACCCCGTACATCCACTGCCGGTGCTGCTCTCCCCGTCCTCCTGCGACGGCCAGCGCGCATAGTAAACCTGCCACAGATCATGCTTCACCCGCCTGGCATAATCCCGATACCCAACACGCACTGCACGGTCCAGCCGTGTGTGCGAGGCGTTCTTCTGGTTTGCGCTTTGCACTTGCTCCTTGCCCTTACGCTTCTTCTTCTTCTTCTTCCGCCAGCCGGAGACGTACTTCTGCGGAAGCGCCCATCTCGACCTCTCCTGCTTCAGAGCAGGGATGACGTCGATTTCGTCCGACGCATTGAGTTTGCATTTCCAGAGCTCGTTTAGCACAGCAGGCGAAGCATACGATCGGATGGCCGTGGTTTCTTCTCCGAAGGTGCTGAGGATCTTCGCGAAGAAGTTCGCCGCTTCGTACAGTGTATCGACTAGCCGGCTCGAGGCGGGCCGGAAGGGGATGCATGATTCCACTGGGGTTACAACGGGCGATGGAGACCTGTAAACGAGATGGAAGCCGCTTGCTTGGAGTTCCGGGTCTGGTTCTCGATGGGAGTACAGCGACTCATGGCTTTGGGTTTGCGGGGTGTTGGGCATGAGACAGCGCGGGTGCGATTGCATGTTGACGGTTATGCGGTTCTAGAAAGATAGATACAATGATCCATCCGACCATCGATGTCTAGACTTTTGTATCAATTTATATATGTACAGCGAGTTGATGCCATCCAATGACGCCAAGACCAATGCACCTCGTCGTCATCACTCATCAGCCTCATCATGCGAGACCTTCTGTAGAACAATCAATCATCCAACAAAGCCCTGTCTTTCATCCCGTCTCGCCTACAATCTCATTCTCTTTCAGCAAAATGACACACGAATTCCCCCCTGTCTCCCTCCATCCTCTGATCAAAGAGGTGGTCGATCTCCTCAAATCCCGGAGGGAGACCATCTCCGTGGCCGAAACAGTATGCTGTCCTCCCCTTTCACCATGTCTCAAGTACGAGACAATACATCTGATACATCTCATATCTGATACTGATACTGATACAGGCAGCCGGAGGCATCATCTCCGCATGTCTGCTTTCCCGCCCGGGAGCATCCTCAATCTACAAGGGTGGAGTAACGGTATTCCTCACACTCTCTTCTTTACTAGGATTAGCTAACAATCTAGCTCTACACCCTGGAATCCCGCATCGCCTTCGCAGGCTGGACCCAGTCGCACATCGACAACTACGAAGGTCCCACGCCTGATATCGTCGCAGGGCTCGCGCAGCACGTCCGCAACACCCTGCAGTCGACGTATACCGTTGCCGAGAGCGGGACGGCGGGGCCTACGGGTGGTGCGACGCGGAATCGGACTCCGTGAGTTCTTCCTTCTTTTCGTCTTTGCAATCACTTGAGATGTAAATGTAATGCACTTGCTAATGTGTACGGATATGGGGTAGAGGATACGTCGCGTTGGCGGTGTCCACGCCACAGGGGCCGTTTACTCGCGAGGTGGAAACGGGGTGCGGGACTGATCGGGAGCGGAACATGGTTGCGTTTGCGGAGGAGGCGCTGAAGTTGGTGAGGGATGTGATGTTGGGGAAGGCGAGTCTGTAGTTTGCCATCTAAGATTAGGAGTTGAGGTTGTGTCCGTTTCTCTATCTAGATTGTTTACGGGCATACTCCTGCGGGGTACCCCTCCAGTTTGAATCCGATTGCTACAAGGGGCAATTGTTGAGATGCACAACTTTTAATATTGACTTACATGAAGTATTCCATATTCTGTATGTTAGACTAGAGAGGTATATGAAATTGATTTACCTCTGTGGCGTTGTGAAGTTCTGACATTCTATTACGTATGGACACAGCCTCAATGACGCAGTGCACAGCCACACCAGTTCAGATTATGTGATTTCCATTCGCGCACAAATGGGAATAATAATACATGGCACACTAGGGAGATATGGATAAATCAATTAGAAGATAGAATTAAAGACAATTTCCTGCAAGAAACTCTCTGACTGGCTGGGACTCAGTCAGCTGGCTCTGTTGGGCTTCTCCATGTTCCTTCAGCACTGAGATTGGGAATCATCATTACTCCGTATATTCTTCTCTTCATCCATTTCACTTACAGGTCATGAATTTCATCTTTTTGATGAGATAAACCAGGAATATTAGGAATATTGCTGCCTACTAACTACATCTGCATCGAATTTTCCACCCGCCGATTCTCAGGCACATTGCCGTTCCATTCGTCCTCGACTCAACCGATCAGGCGCCCGCCATATCCCACCTGCGCCTGTCATCCCCACCGTTCAATTCTATTTTTATTTTATTCTTGTGTCCGATAACCATCCAAGGATCGCAAATTCGACATTGGTGTGATTGTCTCTCAGGAGATACGACTTTGCGTCGGCGTCAAACGGCGCCATGGAGACTATGACGTTACGTCGCAAAGACACGACCAAGGGCCCTCCGTTGAGGGTTCTGTCGTTAGGTATGGAGCACACCATCCAAAAGATGTCGTTCAAAACTGACCGGAGCAGACGGAGGAGGCGTCCGAGGATACTCAATGCTCATCATTCTCCAGGAACTCATGTACCGCATCTACGTCGAGTGTGAAGGCAAAGCCCCGCGCCGAGACCAGATCCCCAAACCCTGCGACCACTTCGACCTCATCGCTGGCACCGGCACGGGCGGCCTCATCGCCCTCATGCTGGGTCGGCTACGTCTCGACCTGGAAACCTGCAAAGAAGTCTACGTGCGCATGACCCGTCGCGTCTTCGAAACCGACAAGACCATCGCCGGCATCCCCTACCGCTCGACCTTGTTCAAGGCGTCCAAATTGGAGGAGGCGATCCGGGAATGTGTGCGGGAGCATACGGTATTCGAGGCCGAGGGGAACGATCTGCCCAATGCCAGCTCGCGCATCTCCATTGCCAGCGCACCATACAGTCCAGCGGCGATTCCGCAGCGCTCCGTGAGTAGAGGCAGTTTCAGCACGTCTGGCGCTTCGCATCCCTCGACGCCGATCAGTCAGCGACATTCCGCCATCATCAACGGGCTACGGTGGGGGAACCCGGATGCTCTGCTCTACGATAATCGGGAAAATCGGACAAAGACGTAAGTCTGGAGTCTATCTAGAAAAACTATTGGAACTCGTACTGACTAGTTAGTGCCGTCACGGCGTTATACAAAGGCACCCCCCGCAACGGATCCGCAGTGTTACTGCGATCGTACGACTCGCGCAAAGAGCCTCCTCCCGAATTCAACTGCACTATCTGGCAAGCGGGCCGCGCCACCTCGGCGACAGGGCTGGCGTTTAAGCCAATTCAAATCGGACAGCATCTCTTTATCGATGAGGGTGCAGGTACATATAATCCGGCGCCGCAGATCCTGGATGAAGCGGCTGTCAACGAGTGGCCCGGGCGGGAAATCGGGGTGTTTATCAGCGTGGGCACCGGCAAGCGTCCGCCGGGCACGAACAACCGGCAGCATGAGTGGTGGGAAGATTTCTTTGGGGATGCTCTCGGCACATTTGCTGAGGCGCGACGACGACTGATCGCCAAGATCGAGGGTTGCGAGGAGATCCATCAGGAGATGCTTCGCACCCACCTGGCCAAGCGGGAAGTGAACAAGGACAACTACTACCGGCTGAATGTCGAGGTTGGCGTGGGTGAGTTTGGCATGAACGAGTGGAACCGGCTGGCCGACATCAGCACCAATACCCGACGCTACCTGTCCAAGCCGGAGGTAAAGAAAAGCATCTTGGACGCCGGGGTCAAGTTCGCAAAGATCGAGCGCATGCACCGGCGACTGGCTGCGCATGCGGCCGCTGGATATGATCCGTCCACAGAGCCAACCGAAGATACGGCATTCTCGCCTCAGAGCTACACTTCGCAAGGGCCAGTATTTTCCGTTCCGCCACCCTCCAACCCCATGGCGGTGGAATTGCCCGCTGAGCTACCTGGCGACTTTGCACCGATCATGACACATCACCCTCCGTCGAGCGGCTTGCGGGTTCCGTCCCCTCCGGCTGATGACGCGCTGCCACCGCATCCGACGCCGCAGGATGGCGTCTATCCTTCGTCAGGACGGGTGTCCACCAGTAGCTTCAGCTATACCCACAGCGACTCGAGTCGGCCCGGGTCACAGCAACAAATGGCGTCGCCTCGGCTGAGTATGGACCAGGCGCAGGAGAGTAGCGTACCACCTCCAGTGCCGCCAAAGACACCGATTCCGTATCCTGATAATGCGAACGAGACGCTGGTGCCGATGCCCTTGGTGATGCATCATGGTCGAAACGGGTCTACTGGGAAGGTCCGGCCGCCATATCCGGTTGACGAGCCTCCTCCAGTGGTAAACAAGCAGCGGAAACCCAGTTATCATGTGCGATGATTGATTACTTCATGTATAGGATGACTTTTGGCTTGAGGCGTTACACCGTTCTTTTTTTAATTTTTGGGGATCGTCGCATTGGCCTATGATTTATGATGTATTTACTACTGGTGGATACCCCAAGAGAAGACAAGTAGTTAATGGATTGAATCTTATTGCATCTTTGTCGTTGGTAATGATGGCTAAGGTACATCAAGCGGATGGAGGATATAGTCCGTACCATAGTTTATGCATTTCGCAAGTACCTATTTTTATCACACTAGATCCATGGTCCAGAAATATCAGAGACAACCATGGATCATATCTAATCCTTTAGACTAGGAACTGGACGATTCTCATCAGCTGTACCAACTTTTCCGAGACAGTGGGAGCGCCACGGGTCGAGATGTACTCACTGGCCCAGCCACTTTTCTTTTGTTCGAGTCTCGCCCACTCATCACCTCCATTTCCATCAAGACTGTGCGAATTGGAACCCTTTTCCATCATGTTTCATTATTATCTGTTCTTTCTTGTGTCTTGAACTCTTTTTCTTTGACATTGTCATTCTTCTCCCTTGCATCTATTCCTCGTGGCCTTACCTTAATCCTTATCGGCCCTCCCAACATTCCTGAAACCACGCGGCCCTCAGCCACAACCCAATCCTCCACTTGTGCTAGTCTGATTAATTAATTTGCCGCTGGGGGCCTGTTCATCGACCCTCGAAGCGCCTGATAACTGTCAGACTCGCTGGTCTCGTGCTGAGACCAGTTTCCAGTGGTTGAGGTTCAGCATATTGCATTGATTCATGGCCTAACGTCAGACTCGTACGACTAAGACTACGACGACGTTCTTGTTCGACATATAGATATACACTCAACCTTTTTTTCTTGGATCGATAAGAACACTGCTGGCAGTGCTATGCCCTGAACGATTCGATGGAAATTTCCCACTCTCTCGTGGCCCATGCCACGACCCTCGCCGTCCGGTCCAGCAGTTCGAGTTCCACCAGCGAGCGTCCCGCCGCATACAAAGCCGTCGGCATTGCGCTGGCCGTCTCCTCGGGTGTCTTCATCGGGACCTCGTTCGTGCTGAAGAAGACGGGTCTCCTCAAAGCGAACGTCAAGTACAATGAAGAAGCGGGCGAGGGGTACGGATACCTCAAGAACTTCTGGTGGTGGTCGGGGATGATCCTCATGATTATCGGGGAGATATGCAATTTCGTTGCGTATGCGTTTGTCGATGCGATCCTGGTCACGCCGCTGGGAGCGCTCTCGGTCGTGATCACCACCATTCTCTCGGCGATCTTCTTGAAAGAGCGGCTCAGCTTCGTCGGCAAGGTCGGCTGTTTCTCGTGTATTATCGGATCGGTTGTGATTGCTCTCAACGCCCCCGAACAGTCGTCCGTCAGCGATATCCAGGATATGAAACATTATGTCATTGCGCCGGGGTTTCTGTCGTATGCGGGTGTCATCATCGTGGGCTGTGCTATCGTTGCGCTCTGGCTGGGCCCGCGATACGGCAAGAAGACCATGTTTGTCTACATCAGTATCTGCAGTTTGATCGGTGGCTTGAGCGTGGTGGCCACGCAGGGTCTGGGGGCGGCCATTCTGGCTCAAATCAATGGGAAATCACAGTTCAAGGAGTGGTTCCTGTACGTGCTGCTTGTGTTTGTCGTTGCCACCTTATTGACGGAGATTATCTATCTCAATGTAAGTTCTTCTGTCTGGGTTCAGGTAACTGTGCTAACCGCTGACCACCGCAGAAAGCGTTGAACCTCTTCAATGCCGCCCTAGTCACCCCCACCTACTACGTCTTCTTTACGAGTTCGACCATCGTCTCCTCCGCTGTTCTCTTCCAGGGCTTCAAAGGCACCGGCATGCAGATCGCGACCGTCATTCTTGGATTCTTGCAAATCTGCGCGGGTGTCGTTCTGTTGCAGCTGTCCAAGTCGGCCAAAGATGTACCCGATGCGGCGATCTTCAAAGGCGATTTGGATCAGATTCGAGAGGTGGCCGCGCAGGAAGAACCAGAGACCGAGCCCAAGGCAGACTCCATCCGTGGTGCTGCGGCGATCATCCGACGCATATCAACCGCACGCCGTCGTATGGAGGAGGAGGAAGCGCAGCGGTATATCCGAGACAGGCAGGAAGATTACCTCAAGCCCCCGGCGGAGAACGAGATCATCGAATGGGACGGTCTGCGGCGACGCAAGACCGTTCTGGGACAGGGCCCGACCATGGTGCGGCCTCGCACGCCTGGCTCTCATTCTCATCCTCCGTCGGGTGTGTCAGAATCTCCAGACGACGACCGCCCCGACCGCAGACCGAGTACCCACCAGAGCGACCGTTCTTTTCTGGATGTTCTGCGATCGCGAGCCTCGAATATCATGCATCCCGGGCAATGGCACCAAGTCTATAATCCCCAAGCCGGTCACGCGGATCCGGTTCATCTGACTGTGTCTCCCGTGCATGGGAACAAGAACTCGGACACGAGCTATCACGGAGCGGGGATGCGCGAAGTCTCCGGAGAGACTGACACATCGCGGTCTATTGCGTGGGCGGACGAGACACCAGACCGTGAAAACTCGCCACTCTCGGCCAAACGGCAGTTTTCTTTCAACACAGTCTTCAACCGAATCAGGTCGAAGAGCGAGAGTGAACCGCCCAAGCCGCCGCCTCATTCGCCTCGCCGCATTCTGCGTCGCAGCCACCTGGTTCCCGGTGCTGAAAGGCAAGCCATAAAGGGAGCCACCGAGGAGGAACGGCTGGGTCTGGTGAAAGGGGACTCGCGAGTTGCTGGCGGGGAGGACTGGGATACGCACGAGAAGCTGGAACGGATCGACTCGTCGTCGAGCGAGTCGATGTCGGATGCCCCTGAGCCGTATGGGTCGTCGTTGGTCTATGGCCACGGCACTTATGACTATGGCTACGCTGCTCAGACCTCGCCGACTGAGATGCAAAGCGACTGGCAATTACCGTCTAGCCGGTCCGTGACCGCGGATCCAGGGGACATGCAATCCTCGTCTCGGCCCCGAGCGAATCCGCTCCCACTGTTGCCAGACGAGGCGCCCTTCATCGCCGGTGAGGACTCGCATATGCGAGTTGAGCTCCGGTCGCCCACTAGTCCCGGCGGGACCGACGGGCGAGGTTGGCGGCGTCCTTTGTCGGGGCAGGGCGGCAGCCCTTCCTCGACGAACCGGGGGGCATTTGTCTAGTGATGTTTGTATATTGGATGATATGTATGATATGATAATGACCATGACTGATGAATAGACATACTGCCTTGCTCTTTCACAAATGGATAGATAGGGACCACTGCATAGACATGCTGTCCACGTTCCGGTACTTCAAATCAAGAGCTTACCACCGAACAAAGGGAAGATAGATCCCCGATAGACCCAAATGCACCACAGCCGAATACACACTGAGGTTGATGCAATTGTATTACCCATTGGAAATGAACGCGTAGACTCGTTTCGTCGTCGAAATCAACCAGAACGCCGGGGTATATGCCAACACCAACACCAACATCAATCCAAGCACCCATCCCAAATCAAGCAAACAATAGAGGGAACTACCCCCGTCGAAACATCCCCATCACGCTCCTCTGCCCACCCGGCGCCAAATCCATCGCAAACCGCCCCTCCGAAAGCCTCTTCCCCGCCTTGATACTCTCCAACACCCTACACCACTCTCATTAGCACCTGCACCTACACCTGTAGCCATAGAAAATAAAGGGAGAATACCACTCGACCCCAACAACCTTGACACCCCTCCACCCACCCCTGGCAATCTCCCTCTGCAACTTCCCCGCCGCAAGCCCCCCGCCCGCACCAGCACCGGCACCAGGCCCCGCATTCGGCTTGCCGACGATAACATGCGTGACGCTCCTCCTCGCCAGGGAGATGGCGACCTGGGCGCCGTGCGAGACAAGTAGGGACTTGAGTCTGTGGTCTGAGATATGAGGCATCGTCGAGCCGTTGATGTAGATTGTTGTTCCGGCGAGTATCTTCCTCTCCCCGCCCTCGTTATCGTCTTCATCCTGTAATTTGAAAATAATGGGTTCGGGTTCGGGCGGTGTCTGGCAGAGTATCTCCCTCTCCGTCTTCCCCTTCTTGCATTTACCTCCGTTCTCATCTTCATCGATAGTAGAAGCAGAAGCAGAAGTAGAAGCACGCTTCTTGCTCGTCCCCATCATCGTCCGGATATCCCTGCATCCGAGCTGGTTGCGGTGCGCCTCGGCGGCGGAGAGCCATTTCCATTCTCCTCTCCCTTCACCTCCATTTCCACTTCCGCTGTTGATCTTGGTAGTGTCGCCTGCGAACTGGATGGCGAGCTTGGCGCGCCGGGTCTCGCGCCAGCTGGTGGTGTTGGAGTAGGGGTTTTCGGCGCGCTGGTGGCCTGTTGCGGAGGAGTTCCACGGGTCGAAGATGTAGTGATTTGTTGGGGTTGGGGGAGGCATTTTCCCTTAGCTGTATACGTAGGTAGGTGTAAATAAATAAATGTTGTAGGGAGACGGAGGTTGGTTGGAGTCAGGAAAAGTCAGAGGAGCAGTGAACCTTGGTTCAGATGTTGATGTTTTTCTGCTTTGGGTTAGTCACGATCCATGCCTTGCTGCTTCGGCGGATACCAACTACTATGTACTCCGTAGTAACAAGGGAGACTACATCAAAGGTATGGCTTACAATGAACTGCTGTATCAGAACCCAATCAATTTTGTCCATATCCCTACATGCGATGAATGGAGAGCGGACCATATAAAAGAAAAGAAGACTCGTCCAAGGAAATTCGTGTCATCATGGTCGTCAATACGCAGTATATCCTTTCAGAAAACAACCGCACATTCCACAATATGACCCAAAGGCACCATAACGCTGATCATCCCGAGTATGAAATCAATGCAGAGGCCGTCGGTGGCCGACCCTGCAACCATTAATGACCCAAACAAAGGCATCCTAACAACGACCCTGGTAAAACTCGCAGACGGAAAAAAAGACACAAACGCAAGGTCTACTGAAGACCGCACAGGCTTCCATCCCACGCGCCGGGGGATGAGGGACCCGTCCCCTTTCTAACCTTCTTTACCCTGAACAACCAGATAAACGAATGCAAAGTCGGAAGCCAAACTACAAGTCCGGCTGTCTATGGCATATCATCGACGACGAGGTATGGCACCTCCGGCTTTCATAGGCTGTAGTCCCATTAGCACTCCGCCAACCGGTCCGCCAACTGTCGTTTCATTGGTCCGTCGGCGCTTGCTTTCGTACTCTCCATGGCTATCCGGCCGGCCCATGCGATCCAGGTCGTCGTCTTCCCGTCCCCGCTTGCCAGATCCCAACGATCCACTCATGGAGTATGTTGGCGCCGAGTTGGAAGCCACAGTGTAGTTGTCTGAGCCAGCTCCGTTCGATGACCCGCGGGTGTCGCTGACAATATTATACAAACTACTGGCAGCGGTCGGTCGAGGAGACGCGTAACCCGACGCCCATTGGGGAGGAGGCCCTCCACTTGTCCGTGGGGTCATACGCCCAGACCCGTTCTGCTGCGGGGAGCCGGTGATGTCGGTTGTCAGCTGCGAGTGCTCGCCCGCCAGACTACCAACCGAAGTGTTGGTGGTATAGGTGTAGGAACTCCGAGGGGCGCCGTAGCCCGTATTGTCATGCTGCACGTAGTCCGACTCGTGCTCAGGGCCAGACTCGCCCGCCCCAGGAGTAACGTGTCCATTGCTTTGCGAGTACCGATCCGCGGGCTTGACATCAGAAGTTTCAGTCTCCGACTGTCCTCCCGGGGCCCGTCCCGCTGGTGGTGCCATCTCATTTTTGATGTAAGAATGAGACGGCATCGTCTGGCCATACTGTGATAGGGAATGCTGTGGAGCATAGTGCGGGTGCGAAGAAGGAGCAGTCGAGTAGTACGGTTTCGAAGTGTCATACCCGGATTGACTCTGGTACGATTGCATGCCTTGCAGGTTGTTGCCAGGAGGCGTCGTCGCTGGGGTCGTGGGCATTGACCGTGCGTTGCTCAAAGTGGTATCGATTGACAGTGGCTGAGTGTTTGGTACGCCAGAGTTCATGCCTTGGTTATTCCAATCATACGAGCTACTCTGGTTTGAAAGGCCCATGAGACTCGAGGCGCTGGCGGGTGGAGTGGGAAACGTATGTGCTCGGTCGAGCGGAGGACGAGCACCAGGCTGAGGCATCTGGGAAGGAATGGAGGTCTGCATGGAGTGATGGTGGTGCAGAGCTGGCGGCTGAGAGGCTTGGGGGGTTCGCGCGGATGGTGGGCCCTCCAGTCGCCGTTGTTGTGATTCCTGCACGACCATATTCGTCCGAGTCTGATTTGTCGGATGGTACAGCAAACCACCGATATTGTGCACGAACAAGGGGTAGAGTAGATCAGTGATCTTTTCCTTGTTGGCAAATTCCAGAGCGCGCTCGAAGGGGATCCTGCATTCGATTAGCATTGCCCTTGACCAAGGTTTCATAAATAAGAACATACCACACTCCCTTCAGGTGCATAGGGCCGATCTTCACAACGTGGCGGACTTTCTCGCTCTTGAGGATGCCGTCCCGACGACCTCTAGTCATGCCAGCCACGTTGAGCAGCTTCGTACCGTTGATCATGTGGTTGTCTATTCATGGTTAATAACATTATTCGTCTATTTGTGTCGATCCAGAGATGCTTACCTTCTCTGCGCGCAACACAGACTCCCTTAGCTTCTACCTGATAACAGAGGCTCCCTTCGTCTTCCCACAAGGTGGCAGTGACTCGCGGCTTGGCACCTGGGGGCGCCAACTGTCCAGTGGTATCATAAACGAACCCTTGCATCGGTGTTCCTGTGGTGTTGCCATAACCAGGAGCTGTTACTGTGTGGCTGTTGACTGCTAGAGGAAGTTAGTACACCAAAGCATAGATACAAGGCACAGGAAGCTTACCAGGCAAAGGCAGCAACTGAGCAGGGACCTGGCCGCTCATCGATGTTGATGGCGGGGGTGGCGCGGGCTGGGTCGAGGCTACACCGCTAGGGTAGGCATATTGCGAGTAAGAGCTGGCAGGACCGTAGGTCGAAGCTGGCTGCAGGACAGGCGGTTGCTGGTGATATTGCGGATAGTGGGCCATTGCTCCTGCCGTCGGCGCTTGAGAAGCGTACGGCTGCGCGGATGAAAGATGCGACGAGTGCACGTCCATGTAGGGTTGCGTTTGGTTCATGCTGCCCAGAGGGGTCGGATTCGGGTAATAGCTGTCGCTCACCGGATTCTGCGCAACGGTGTAATCCTGCGAGGCGGAAGATTCCAGGGAGAGACGGCCGTGTCCACCAGCCACAAGGTCAACAGACGGCGGAGTTCTGGCCTCGCTGATGGTCGGTGCGGTCCCGGACGATAAGCTTGTCCGAGCGCTTGAGCTGGTCGAACCTGGAGCCGACTCTTCGTAGCTAGCCCTGTAGGACTGGCCCGAGACGATCGGCTGCGAGGCCGTGGGAAGACTGAGCGCCGGAAGTTTGTCACCAGACAACAGAGGTCGTTCCGCAGCGTGGTGGTTGTACCAAGGGATATCAACAGGACCTCTTGTGTGGACCTGGGAGATCGACGGTAGCTCCAGCTTTTCGGTTTGACGGGTAACGGTTTGAAAGTGTAGTAGCGAAGGAGCACTAGGAACGTCGAACTATTAGCGTCCGGCGTACCGTATATGAGATTTTTCTTCCTGCGTGTATATTTCCGTTGTTTTGTTTTGTGTAGAGGTCACGGATATCAGATTCGATGTCCGCGTCGAGAAGTCTGTCGTTTTTGTAAGAAACAAATGAAAAAGCCGATTCTCACGACAATGTCTCGTGAAATTCGAAAATGCGATGCTCAGGAAGCGGTGCAGGCAATGCAATGATCAATCGTGGAAGGTCGTCGAACGTCGTAAGCGTGAAATGTTTCAAGACCGTCGCTGGACAGAGGAAATCGCTATGCAGTGTGTACTGACAGAAATCTACATCCACAAACTTTTCTTCGACAAAAGGTGTGTAGTTTTCTTTTTTGGGATCGACCCGAACAAGACAGCACGGGGAAGCGAGACGAAGCGTTAACGGATCGCAGATTGGTCAACAAAACTCGCTCAACCAGATCAGAAGCAGGCAATCATGGGTCTCATTCAAATCGTAAAGAATATAGGGTTGTGTGAGGGGCGACGCGAAGTTCCAGCATCGAACGTCGAAACACTGCTTCTCATAAACCCACACTGTTGTGTGCCGACTCGGATATACGGTGTCTATCAGGTATGAAGTTCGTGATAGCTCGTTGCAGGTCATATACCGCTCGACGGATCGACAGTGGAGTCAGAGCAGACTAAAGGTAATCGCAGAAGTAGAGTAAGCAAAGCATTCAGGTCATTAACTTGGTCATGCAGGAAAAGAAAATATAAAGCATGGAAGCATGAAAGCAGAGTGGTTGAGTTGAGAAGACCAAGGCGGGATTCCTGTAGGTATGTATAGGAGCCATCAAACGGAAGGGATGGTACGGTGACGACGCGGCAAAGGGAGACTGGTGCAGGATAAAATCAAATTAAGAAAAAGGGAAAAAGCAAAAAGCAAAAAAGATTTCCGGCGGCAAATATAAGAGGAAAATAGAAAAAAACCGAAGATCAAACTCTCAGAGGGTCCAGATTGGGAAGATCAAACCAGAATGGAAGTGGAAGACGAGGCTCGAAGGCGGTGGGAGGCAAAGAATGATTGATTGCATTTGCACAGGACATAGGACATAGGATGATAGGACCCATAGAAAAGAGAGGTCAGGCAGACGGGGAGATCATGTACGGAAAAGTGGAGGCTGGGGGAGTGATAGTCCCAGTCTTGGTACGTAGAATAACAGGTAGGTAATAATAATAATGGAGATGGTGTAGACTGGGACTGGGAATGGTAGTACAGCAAACGCAGGACAAGACTGGACTGGACCTCTTAAGGCTAAGCCTAATAGGTAGCAGCAGCTGTGAGACAGGTTGGTTGGGGTGCGGAAAAAAGTGGAAGAGAAGGGTTGGTTAGGAAAGAAAAAGGAAGGGGAAAAATAAAAATAAATGGAAAAAAAAAAAAGAAAAAAAAGAAAGAAAGGACTAATAGAGGGTGATTGTAGGGCTATGCGTACCAACTTTTCGCTCTCACTCTCTCTTTTCTTGCTTCCCTTCTGTTTTAGGTTACTCTCTTGTCTTGCCTTGGAGCTTCAATGTCCTAGGGTAATATTGTATGCATGCGCAGGTGGTGTATGGAATGTATGCATGCATGTACGGTACAGACTTGGGCAAGGAACCTTAGATCAGAGGTAAGCTCTCAGCCATGGAACGAGAATCATCGATGTGAATCAATGGATGGGCCGAGCGGAGGGGAAGGTTGGTAGCGAGGATTGTGTAAATCTTGGGTTGGGAGGGGAAGAAAGGGCGAAGAGAGGGGGGCGGCAGCCGCTGAGCTTCCGCGTTTTAGTGGGAGGC